ATTCTATCATTTATCTTTTCGTTAACATAGTAAAATATATAACAAAACAATTATCAAGTAAGAACTATAGTCTTAATATTTAGTTCATTAACATTTAGCAAGATTTAAAGAAAATATTCTATCATTTATCTTTTCGTTGTGAGTCTAAAGTCTTATATATAGCTTATCTTTTATAATAACTAAAGAAAACTATAATCATAACTATCTGTCTTCAACTCCATCAAAGATCACAGAAGGGTAATATGTAAACGCTACATCTGACACAGACATCTCGCTACCTGGACAGTCACCCAAAGTTCCTCTGTAACACTGGGGCATCCATCTTCAGCCTATAGGCCACAGTGTGTCTGGCAGACCTCTCAGTGAAGCAGGACCCCTTCAGAACTGTTCATCTTGTTTTGTAAGTTCATCAGTCACTTTCTTGTGGGTCCTGCATGTCCAGTTTATACAGCAACAAACAGTCCAGGCAAGAGCAGTTTCTTGCCCAAATGCAAAGAGTGGAAACTGGTGGCCAAGAGCCCATGCAGATCTCAAGAACCCCCTCCACTACAGCCTCACTTCTACTCTCCACTTGCTCCCATTGGGAGATGCTGGGATCAGACCACAGGGTCCCCAGCATGTTCCACCACTGTGCTGGACTCCTGCCCCCTTACAGCAGTTATTTGTCTCCTTGATTGCTTTTATAAAGTGAAGTCTTCCTTTTTGACCCTAGCCGGCCTAGAACTCCTAAACCTGTCTAGTAGTTGTCACACCCAGTGTGCTTAGTAGATGAGACTGTGGGCACAGACCATCACATCTGGCTCACTCCTTACTTTTTGCATGAAAATGACCCTTGTATACCACTTAGTGAAAAGGATGTGGAGAGGGAAATCCTGAAAATGAACTGTGGATTACCCACATTAACACATTACAAGGCTACTACAGGTGGCCATAAGAATGATTCTCTCGGCTCTGACCACAGGGAGTAAGTGATCCATAGCTCCAGCACTGCTATCTAGACTCAATTGCCATGTCTCATATTTGGCTCCTAGCCAGTGACTGAGCATAACAGGGGTACTAGAGGTGGCTTTTCTCTTGCCCCATTTTTACTGTGATTGCTCTGCAGCCTGTTTTCCTCTGGGGTCAGACCTGCATTATTCCCTGGCAGCTAGCTCTTCCTGCCTCCACAGGCTCTCCTCATTTTCTCTCATAGATCCTTCTTACACTTTTCTTGTATTTAAATCCCAGTTTTGTGTCTGCCTTTCAGGCGGGCGTAGTTAACTTCTTAGCTGTTTCCCTCCAATATTGTCCTAGGGATTTCTGTCGCCTCTTCTCTTTGCAGATCTTTTATTTCTGGGTCCCAGGTCCTCATCTTTCTTGTTTTGCTTCCTTTCTGGGTGGAATTCATCCTCCACATGGGAGGTAAATTATTGAAACCCTGCATGACTGAAAACTATTTAATCTCACCCTTGAGGGATGATTTGGCTGGATATGGAATTTTAGCTTGGAAATGATTTTTTTCATTATTTTAAACACATTCTCCATCACCTCATAGTTTTCAGTGTAAATGTTGAGAAATACAGCACCACTTTTGATTTCTGATTCTTTGTATATGACCTGCTTTCTCTCTAGAAGCTTTTATAATTTCTTAATCTTGATGCTTTGAGCTTTCGTGGTGCTGTGCCTTGTCACTGTGTTGGATCCCAATCAATTTGGGGACATCTGTCTGTGACATGCTCATGCACTTTGATACTTTTTGTTTTCTGTGTTCTCAAGAAGTCAGAATGACAATATTTTGTGCATTGATTCCCATTTTCTTATTTCCCTTTGTTTTCCAAGCAATTAATTTAACTTCTCTTTCTTAAAGAGCATTTAATCTTAGTGTATGTTTTGAAATTTCTAGGCTTTCTTTCTGCTCTTTGGTTTTTAAGATAACAGCATTCTATTCTTGTTTCATGGATATGTTGTGTCACTAGAGATATTTATGTGTTGCTTGTTTAGAAATGTCTTCATTCCCCCCAGTACCTCTCACAGGAATTCCTCTTTTGATTATTTAACTCGTTTTCTTATTTCACTTTGTATTTTGCTATTTGTTTATATGCTGGTTGATTCTTGGCTGTTTTCTCATATGTAGAGAGTTCAGTTTGGTGTAATTTGTATTCATGTTAGAGGTGGGCTCTTGAGTGTGACCAAGCTGGAACTGACATGTCCTTCAAGTCTTTGCACATATTCTCTTTATGAGGTCTAGGATGTTCACCTTATTTAAAAATGCTTCTGCATGCAATGCTTCTGCCTTGGCTTTTTCTCCTCTCTCCACGCTGGTGTTGAACTCACAGAGATCCACCTGCCTCTGCCTTCTGAGTGCTGGGATTAAAGGCGTGCGCCACCAACGCCCACTAGATGGGTTTCTTAAAGATCCTTATGTAGCACATTGTTACCAATGTTAGATTAGGTGACAGCACTTTGAGTGTTGTTTTATCTTTTTATTTTCTAGTGACAAAAGAGATTTACAGAAGAGTGTAGATACAATTATAACGTCAAGCTTAGTATTCACAGCATAGGAATGGGCATTGGAAGGTGCCTGTGATGAACAGTTATACTATCTTTGAGAACTAGATTTCTGAAGATGCATTAAACAGGCATCCTGGTAGTTGCTACCATGATGACCCTAAAAGGAAATTAGGGTTAGGGGTCAAAGGTCTCATAGAACAGACCAAAAGTCCCTGTAGTCATTCTTATTTTTACAACATAAAAGTAATTCACCAAAAGCTGTTTGCTTTTATTTTATGTGTTTGGGGGTTTTGCCTGTGTGTGTGTATGCCTATGCACCACTTGCATGCAGTGCTGTGTAGGCCAGAAGAGGGCGTAAGGTCCCCTAGAATTGGAGTTAACAAATGCTAGGAGCTGCCATGTAGATGCTGGGGATTGAACCTGGGTTCCCTGTAATAGTAGCCAGTGCTATTCACCACTGAGCCATCTCTCCAATCCCAGTCCTTATTCATTTTCAATGATGTATAGTTAGTGTCTCCTTGCCCATTCTTGATCTTTGCAGGTTTCAGAATCTGCCACTAGCTTAGCATAAATTTCTTTTATCACTGTTGTGCATGATGTGGTTCAGTTACTGAAGCAAAACCCTGCCAGGGTACTGTGGTGAGACGCTTAGGAGAGGCTTTCCAGGTTCATACTTCTTTCTACCATGTGACTGGCTGGCTGCAAACAGTACTGAGGAAGAGGACAGTAGTAGCTATAGCAAGAGTAGGTAAAAATTCACGGACAAGACTGAGATGTGGACATTGCTGATTACCTGTGTGACGTTCCCTTTCTGCCCTTCTTCCTGGACAACTTTCCCCAGTGAAGCATCAAAAGCCCAGAACTTTCTCACTGCCCTTTCAGCAAAGACTTGTGATACAGAGATGGCCAATGGGAAACTTGGTAGCCTCTGAAAGCCTACTGGACCTCACAGAACATGTCTGTCACATGGTGGTCAGGGAGCATGGCAATGTAGAAAGAAAAGTCTAGGTCGTTTTCAAGAAAGAAACAATTCTTGTTGTTTTTTATACTGATACAAACAAAAAGCTATACACTAAAGTGAAAAGCTTACTGAATTTTCACAGAAAACCCTCAGTTAAATAAAGTTCCTAAAGAAATCCTCTACACACTTTCCAAAGTCTGAAGCCTGGTATGCTTGTCACCAAAAAACTGGTTTTTGCTTTGTTTGCTTACAGTGAAAGAATATGTTGTGTGTAGTCTTGTGTCTAAGTTCTCTGTTTTATCTGTGATAGTCCTTAGTATAGATTAATACAGATTGCTCCTCCTTGCTGCTGTATAGTATTCTATGATGTGAATATACTGTTTATTTCTTTGACCATTAGTGTGTATTCAAACAATTATATATAGTGTTTCTATAAGCATTTTAATATATTGAACTTGCTCTATTGACCAGGCTGGCCTCACCAACTCAGATCTGCCCGCCTCTGCCTCCCAAGTACTAGGATTAAAGATACATACCACTCTGCTCAGCAAGTATATAGCTGTATAATCTTTGGGCAGATGTATAATATGTCAACCAGCCTGAGGCTTACTTTTCTTCTTTGCCAGTTTCTTACGTGTGTAGTGAACTTTAGTTATTTCCATGTACCATCATCAATCCCCCTTCCCTCCTGCTACAACTCTTCCTCTCAACTCTTACTCTCATGTCTGCCTTGAATTATTTTTAATAATTTACCTCTGACTTTCATGTCTGAGTTTAATTATGATTGCTTATATGAGCATGGGTGGGAGGTTATTTACTGGAATAAGGGCAATTTATTAGTGTTATACCACTAAGGAAAATGATACTTCCCCTCCCCTCCACACACTGACTGCCAGTAGTTCCTCAAGGAGGGGTGGGGCCTCATGAGTTCTTCTCCACTCACGATGGAATGTTCACAGGCTGAGTCTGGTGCAGGACTTGTGTAGGTAACCATGGCTGCTTTGAGTTCATGAGTACAATAGCTGGGTCATGGTCACAGAACTGCACAGCATACCTCTCTATCTCCAGCTTTTAGCATCCCTTTTGCCTCTCTTCTGAAATGTCATTTGCACCTTGGAGGGGATGAGATAGAAGTCCCACTTTTGGATGATCACTTCATTGCCATTTATTTTCAGCAATTTGACGAGTTGTGAGTCTCTGAATTAACCATCACCAATTGCAATAACAAACTTCTCTGACCAGGGCTGAGAGCAGCACTGACCTATGGATATAAACATAGTATTTAAATGACAGCTTGATAACATGTCTGTTTAGCAAAACAACAGTAGTAGTAGGTTTCCTATTAGGCAGCTGACCTTCCCATATGCTCAGGGTCATATAGAGGCTTACAGGTTTAAGAAGCCATAAATTAGTAGGACAATCCAAGTGGTTAGTATTGTATTCTTATTCTCTCAGTGAGCAGAATTTTAAGTATAATTTTAGAACACATTCATTATAAACTTATTTATAGAGCAAAAACATAACTGGATTTTCTTTTTTTTCTTGTCAGCAACTTGAATTGGTGGAACCAAGTGGCTGGATTCATGTTCCTTTAACTGACAATCATAAGAAGCCAACTCGCACATTCATGATACAGATTGCTGTTCTAGCCAATCACCAAAATGGAAGAGACACCCACATGAGACAAATTAAAATATATACACCAGTTGAAGAGAGCTCCATTGGAAAATTCCCCAGATGCACAACCATCGATTTTATGATGTATCGTTCAATACGGTGACTTGAAAATGGGAGAGAAGTGAAATAGACATTTATTTTATCCTGACATTGAGTATTATGTCAATTATCTTTAGTGGAAAAGCATGTCGTTTTACAGTTTTGTATATATTTAAAACATTTTAATTTAGATAAGTAACTTTTGGGTGATGCCTTTTTTCTTTATACAATAAAGCTCATATATTTTATATTGCTAAAAATAAATTTGAAGTCAATCTTTAAATTTTTCTTTATATTAAAAGAAAACTAGTTAAACTGAAAATTTCAAGATGTACATAATTTTTTTACTAGCGTGGTTATTATTTCATATAATGGTTGTTGGGCATTTGGGAACAATACTCTGTTTTTTTAGTATACCTGTAATAATTTTTTAATAACATAAGATTAATTTTTTGTAGATGAAATTTAATTTTTTAAATGTGTGATCCTTTTTAAACATAGTATCAAAATAAACTGGTACTAGATGTTTGTTATGAACTCGTCTGTTTAGGTGTTCTGGCCCATGCCCATAATGTAGCATTCTAGAGGCTGGGGCAGAAGGATTGTGAGTTCCAGTCTAGCTTGGCCTGTACAGTGAGACCCTGTGTTAAAGAGACCGGGAGCTTTAGCAGCAGGAGAAGCCAGTCTGATTTAGAGGATGTAATTGTCTTACCTTCTCTCTTCCATGAAATATTTATAACTCCAGGGTTGTCTGTACTCTGACAATATCATGTGAGAAATTGCCATTTAATTTGCAGTTTATCTCACTCCATGTATCACTTATGTGAAGAATTTCATTTTGTGTCTAACATTGTAACGTTTTCACAGGTAATATTTCCTATGAGAATTTAAAAAGGAAGAGCCTATTTTTTATTTTATTTATTTATATTTTTGTAGAACATGGCTTAAACAATGAATGTTGATTGGTTCATAACATGTTGTGCCCTGTATCTGATTGGGATGGAGTCATTAGTCCCAGGACTTCCTCTAGATTCACTGGCTTTAGAAAGGTTGTTCGGGTATTGTTGGGTATATGTAAGTCTAAATCAAGAATGTTTAAAAGTAATAGTGTGTTTGCTTTGCTTTATTCTGTTTGCTTTATACTGTCCACCAGGTTACTACTGATATGGTTTCACTTTCTTTGAGTTCCAAAAAGAGCTTTTTGTTTGTTTGTGTTATTCTCTTGGAAGTAGAAAGCATGCTAGGGATCTGGTATAGGGTAGGTGAAATCTGTAGCCCAATGTAGTAGAGATACAGGTGTAGGATGCTAGGGAGAGTACAGGGGAATTAAGGAAATACATGGAGGATGGAAGGAGAGAAGAGAATCTAAGAAATGAGAATGGAAGTAGACAGTAGGCAAGGATGTTAACCGTCATGTAAACGGCAGGGGTTAATGCTAGGGCAAGAAGCATTTAAGAGCTACAAAAGGCTACAGTAGTAATAATGTCCCTGCTTACTGATTGCTTTTTAAAAGTTTGCTTAGAAGGATTAATTATGTACATTATCCCACTGGTAGTTTGCTAAGGCATTCCTAAATCAAGAGGAACTAAAAAGAATGTCAAGAAAGCCTGTGATTTCCTCCTTTATTCTATTGTCCTAAAAAAAAAAAAAAAAAAAAAAAAAAAAAAAAAAAAAAACAACTCTCATAAGCCCAGGCTGACCCCAAATTTGCCATGTCCTTGAAGTGACCCTTCTGCCTCTACCTCTCAACTACTGGGATCACAAACATGTGACACCATGCCCAACTTTGCTAAGCAAACATTCTGCCAATTCTGTTTACCTATTGTCATACACTATCAGACTGGCCAGCTTAATAGGCATGGGGAATTTGATAGCTGAGGATTCTAGAAATGATGGATTCTCTAGACATAACAATAGTTTTTATTACAGCTAGATGATGTGTTATATTGCTGTAGCCTAATTGTCAAAGCAGTTTCCTGCTCTCAGCCTTGTTGAGAGAAGGGTCTGTTAGCAGTGGGCAGAGGCATTGCAGAGATCCATAGCTCATCAGTTCTTCCAGGAAGTGATTGGTAAGTGCAATGTGCTAAAAAGGGTGTCTGTCTCACCCTTTGCTCCTCCGAGGTTCAGGGAATGGCAAGGAGGAGGAGCAGAAGAAGGTAAGTGCTGAAAGATGGGATAGTTCTGTGACATGGCTGACACTCTCACGAACTCAAAGCAGCATAAGACTGCCTGTACAAGACTTCGCCCATCAACATTCCATCACAAACTAGGGAGGGGCACAGAAGGCCCCATCACTACCAGAGCAGCTATAGACCAAGGGAGGTTGCAAAACCCTCATGCAGGCCACCCTAATTAAGTGCAGTGGGTCACTTAACGTGATACGAAAGGAAAGGGACTTGAGAAGAAGCGTTTGGTGGGATGGGGAATGAGATAAAGGGAAATAATGAGAGACACTGATCAAAGGAGGGGGGAAGAGACTATAAAAGAATACTTTTAAAAATATTTTCAACAATTTTAAAATGCACATTTGTGATCCTATTGCTTGGGAAGCTGAGGTAAGAGTTAGGAATTTCAGGCCCACTTGTGCTAAACAGACATTGTCTAAAACCAACAGCAGAATGTTGCAGAGGTTTTTGTTGTCCTGCCGGGTCCTGCTGCTACTTCAGCCCTAAATAAACACATGGAAGCTATATTAAATCTTAAATTGTTGGCTGGTGGCTAGGGCTTCTAATTGGCTAGCTCTATCTTGTTATTAATCCATAACCACTAATCTATGACCTTATCTTACCAAAGAACTCCTGGCATGTCCTGTCTTCCCGGGCTCTACATGGTGTCCTCTTCAAGGCACCTCTCTGTGCCTATCTTCCTGCCTCTATTGGCCAAATAGTGTTTTATTCATCAACCAGTAAGAGAAACAGATATACAGAAGGACATCCTCATCAGCAGAAACAAAACATTTTCTGTTCAAGCTGGAGATGTACCTCAGTGGTAGAACATTTGCCTGGCATGTACAGAGTTATGTGCATAGAAGTATACATTATATGTCACAAAGAGTTATATCTAGAATATAAATTGGTTTTTCCAGACAGGGTTTCTCTGTATTGCTTCGGAGCATGTTCAGGAACTCACTCTGGAGACCAGGCTGGCCTTGAACTCACAGAGATCCTCCTACCTCTGCCTCCCAAGTGCTGGGATTAAAGGCGTGCACCACCACCACCCATAGAATATATTTTTTAAAGCCCTTAAAATTCAACCGGAAGAAAGAAATGCAATTTAAAATGAGCTAGATTTCATTGTCATTCACCAAGTAAAGCTGTGACCAGCCATTCTGTTCCCATGTACTAATATTTTCCCATGGGAGGAAAAGTGTGTGTCGTGAAGATGTTGGTGGGCCTACTCGTCAAAGTTTCATTTCTAATGCAGGCTCCTGTATTCTTTGTAATGCAGGACTGGAAGTGGTTTAGAAGTTTGGACTTTAGGGGACAATTTTGATATTAAATGGTATTTGATATAAATGTGATAACTCACATACACATGAGACATTTAAGGAATAGGAGCCCAGCTTTTCCAATGTAACATTTGTGTACACCTTGTGCAATATTTTTATGCAGTGTTTGTAATGTGCCAGTCACATGTGTCAGGTGTGGAGTAGTTTACTGGTGTCATTCAGGACTCACAAAAGTTCCAGATGGTTTCAGATTTTGGACATTGGGATTAGGGATACTTAATTTGTACTTCAAAGCCTCGGCACAGCCTACATCTGATCAGTAGGAGGGTGTGTAAAGAAACTGCAGTGTACCTGTATGGTGAAATAACTCAGCAGTAAAAATGAGCAGACTATAGGCAAGGCAACACTTTGGCAAGAACCTCAATGATGAGTTTATTGGTTGTGCATGATAGTTATGTACTCTATTTACAGGAAGAATCAAAAGTTTCATTAGTTAGAAAACTATATTACAAAAGTATTTACAATCTATCACAGGTTTAACATTGAAAATGAAAAAGTTCATGTCCCTGCTGTTCAGCAGTTTAGTTTTCAATTTTACTTGATTCTCCCTCATTTAGTCCATGGCAACTTCATTACTATTTTCCTTCTCTGCTGAGTAGAATCAACCTACTCTTTTTTAAGTATTCAAACTTGTGAAACTTTCTGAAGAAACTTTTATTTACAAAAAAACTATTTAACATGATTCAAATTCAAGCTGTAGCATTTACCATCTTAGTAAAAATGACCATGATTATAGCCTCAGCTTTCCACTGGGGTGGGTCACAGTTACCATAAAATGCTCTACTGTGCATTCACTTTGCCAATGCTGAGAGCAAATTGCTGTTCTCTCCCTGTGGTCTTTGAACTAATTCTGCAGACTGTTTTGTAGACTTTATCCCAAGACTAGTTCTTTTTCTTATCCTGGCACTCATCCGTAGTAGGAGATCCAGATTTTTAACAGATCATTTCCTGTTATTTCTACAGCAGTATCAAAGTACTGATCACTTACCAAGAAGTGAGAGATCCAGAAGGCTGAAATAGAGTTCAGCCAGCTGTTTTTCTCAGCTGCTAACATTTTAAGAATCACATGTTAAATGCTGGGCAGTGGTGCTGCACACCTTTAATCCCAGCACTCAGGAGGCAGAGGCAGGCAGATCTCTGTGAGTTCGAGGCCAGCCTAGTCTACACAGAGAAACTCTTGTCTCAATCCCCTTCCACCCCAAAAGGGAACACATAAGGAATCACATGTTACATGGGTATAAAGATGAAATGAGAGGGTAGCTTTGGTAAACAGTTGACAAGCCATTCAGGTATTAGTAAACACACATAATGGAAAGAGATTTTACTGTTCATTAAAAAGTTAAGTTTACTAGCATGATGGTGCACTTCTGTAGTCCCAGCACTTCAGAAGTAGAGGCAGGCAAGTTTGAGACTAGCTTGATCAACACAGGGAGCTCCAGACCATCCAGGGATACACACTGAGAACCATCTCAAAAAAAAAAAAAAAAAAGTTTTCTTTCATACTTTCCTATGACATCCATCCTATGGCAACTCATTATAACATTAACATTTATAATTTCTTATATTGAAATTTTCAGCAGTTAGGCAGGTAACCAGGTGTAATTTTGATCCTGTCTTTAGTAATCCTGTGTCATCAGATTCTTCTTCCACCTTTTACTATAGCCTTTCACTCAGCCCTCTCACATTCTCCCAATCAATTGCAAAAGGATCGACCATTGGCTTTAGTTTATGATAAGATGAAGTTATCAGGCAGTGATTCATATAACCATCTAGAAATAGCTATACTAATTCCATATTAACTGTAAAATTTTCCTCTTGTGTCTTTTTAAAGCCATGTGTTTTTCTTCTTTGCCTCTTATATAATGAACTTTTCATTATTCTCAGACTTTCTTTTATCTAAGCATATAAATACACTTGTTTCTTAAAAAATATTTATTATTTGTATTTTACCTGCATGTATGTCTCTGTAAGGATGTTGGATTCTTTGGAACAGGAGTTATAAACAGTTGTGAGCTGCCATGTGGG